CTGGAGAGTTTACCTTGTTTTAAGACCATCATTGTTTCTCCAGCCCTTGGGAGCTTGGAAGGGAAAAGGAGGAGGTAGACAGAGGCAGAGGTGAACACAGTTACAGAAAGGAAGGAGAGGCCAATGCAATAAATGCATGAGGTAGAGAAATGCATGATGTAAGGAACGTGCAAAAGAAAGGGAAGAAAATCCATGTGGAATGGAGGGCAGGAGAGAAAGCCAGGGGTGATTAATGAAATAAAACACAGGTTACTAGTGATACAGCAGGAAAGAGGGAGAGAAATGATAGCCTATTCCTAAAGAGGAAGTCAACGGAAAAAGCAATATGAAATTAATACAGTGGCAAAGTGGGGGAAGGGAAGAATTGAAGAATAAGATGAGGTGGAAAAAGAGTATGGTACCAAGAAGATAAATGGAAGGAAATGGAGGAGTGTGGAGGCAGAGCGGAGCTGCATGGAGCTTGGTAGGGGGAAAAGAGGAGATGATGAGGTATCAAAGGAAACAAATGCCTCTGGTGTGCTAAGGGAGACAGTGTGACTGGTGCAAAGAGAGAGCACACTGCAGGAGCACCGATTTGGAAAAAAGGCAGAGCAGAAATACCACTGGGCGAAACCCCAAAAGAGAGAGATGCCAAAGGAGAGGGAAAGAGCATGCAGAGATACTGGTGAAGAGAGAGGGAAAGAGAACCTCACAGGCATTCATTCCAATGGGTAGGTCACTCACCACCCAACCAAAGGCCTTTGATTTCATTCCTAAGCCTGAGGGACTGAAGCAAAGAGATGAAAAACTAGAATTCCCATTTAGTGTAGCTAACAGGAAGGTGGATCTTTCTAGCCTCCTGAGAATCAAAAACCTCAAGCCTCTGATGTCATAAATTGCTAGTGTTGCCTTGGCAACCAGACAGGGTGCCTCCCTCCGTGATGTCAGAGCAGCTGGTGCTACCTTGAGACCCAAAGAGGAACAACTTGTTGCTTTGCTGGGGTGCTGTATGTGCGCATGAGGCTGGGGCCTGAGTCAAATCTGTAGGATTCCTGGGTTTGGTAGCTTGACCTGCCTCTGTGCAGCTGTTCTTAGCTCAGAATGAAGTCTCATTTGTGAGTGCCTGAGGTTCACTAAGCCTACAGGAGCCAGAGGAAGGGACCTCGGGGGACAGGGCATTGAGGACGGGATGGTAGGGCTGAAAGGTAGGCAAAGAAGGAAGAGAATTGGAAATGGCAGTTACATAGTGTGAAAGGAGAAGGGCTTTGTGAGCAGGGAGGAGAGGTAAAATTTAAGATGAGCCTAGTTTTGGATTTAGGGATGGAGACTGAAGCTAGAAAAACAGAAGGGATTGGAGCTGTGTGAGTTGTAAATGACTGCAGGGATTGAGGAAAGGGAAGGGTTCTGAGAAGCCTGAGGGCACAATGGGAATTGACTGTAGAGGAAGGAAAAAAAAATAAAAAAGGGACTCTGAGCCAGAGAGAGAAGCTGGTGGGTGAGAAACCAGGTTAGTCATGATGACCAAATGAGGGAGGGCCTCGAGGTCTAATTTCTGGTCATTTCCTAACACCTAGCATGGTGCCTGTCACACAGAAGATGCTTAATAAATATAGTGATCAAATGTTGAATTAGTTGAGAGAGGCTAAGGAGAAGAGTTGTCCACCTTTCTCTTCACCCACCCTCAAGCCTAAGTCTGCATAAATGGGCAACAAGTTGGGAAAGCAGAAACGAGGAGCGGGGAACTCACGGAGCAATAGTGAAGGTTAAGACAAAGAGAGGAGGGACTGGGTGAGGGCCTCACGTGGAGGCAGCCAGGGCTGATGCTAGGGTCTGATCCGGGAGTCTCTGTAGAGGCAACGGGAGGAAAACATGAATGAACAGTTTTAGGAGCCCAAGAGGAAGATGCGGAAGAGGGTGGAGAAAGGAGGTGGTTTCCAGAAAAGGTTGGGAGTGGTTTCCAAAGACAAGAGTGGGCAGATTTGAATGGAAACAGCATCCCCACCTCACCCCATTCTCAGTCATGAAACTGCAGCTGAATCAGTCATACCCATATATATACACTGGTCACAAATAGAGAGCTCATAGGTCAATACCAGGCCATCCTAAACTCCCCGAACCCATCCAGACATTGGCCACGTGGACCAAAGGCAGAGGGGAGGCACAGACCTGGATGTAAGGAACAATGTGGAGGATGGCATGACTGCCCTTTGTTGAATGAATCCAGAGGTACCTAGGTGAAGAGGGGGAGGTAAGATGCAGAGCTCTCCCCACTCTCAGTGGGGAGATCGAAATACACAAAAGCCATAGAGGAGAAAGACGTACCATGTCAGGGATTATAACCTGTCCTGTTCATGTGGTAAAGAGTCAGAAAGACCCTGAATAGGTTGTGGACTCTAGGAAAGACACCTGGAAGAAATGGAGTGGGCTGGGAGCTCTGGGGGAGAGTCTGGCTATAGTAACAGCCAGGGCAGCTGGAGAAGGGGCTGGTGGGTGGGGGCCTGAAGGGAGGACAGTGGTGGCTGGATGCATTGTCAGCCGCAGCCATGGACTCAAGCAGCTCATATTTTGCATCAGACGACAGGCTGTCGACACAGCGGTCCTTTACCTCACCGTTAGAAACTCATTTCATTGATTTTTCCATCTTTCTTCTCTAGCTTCTCAGTCATCCCACCACTCACTTTCCCAGAGCCCCTTGCCTCTCTGGAGAAAGCCCCAGGGGACCACCTGCCCACCCCTCCTCCACCCCAGGCTGCTGAGATGGGGTGAAAGATTTAGAGATGCTGTGTAGCACCTGAGGTACTCCTACCGACTCTCAGTGTTCCCCTCATGTAGGAACTACTCCAGAGACCAAGGCCTCTGTACAGTTACTCACAGTGCCCATTTAAGCGGGGACAGGACTAAGATTTGCCTACTCTCCTGTCACCAAGCTGTGCCACTGGAATGCAGGCTGTGACGTCTTTCTCTAATTCCTCCCCAGACTGCTCAGGACCCCTCAAACATTATTTTCAGTCAGGTGAGGGAACAGGAGCTGCCTCTGTGTATTCAGGCAGGACTGTGGAATTACATAAAGCAAAGGTTCCAGCCCTGAACTCACAGCAGGCCCATCAGCGGGAACACTGCTTGCACAGTGGCCTGTGCAATTAGGAAGGCATAGTAGTAAGAGCTCTGTGAGAAAGAGGGTTTATGTATGCAGGAGCTGGTCCTGTGTGGTGCTGACACACAGTCGTTAGAGCAGGAGGGTATGGGTCAGAAATTTTTACTTCATGTGTGGACATTTCCCTAGTGCCTCTTCCAGTCACAGCCAACTACCCTCAGCCTGTCCCTTTGGGGCTGGGATTGGGCAGAAGATCAAGAGTCAATTGCCAGTCGTTTGGCTTCTCTGTAAAGGAGGGCAGAGGCTGGGACAGGAGTGTTAGATGTGTGTCCCTGAAGAACTGGTGGGGTAAAGACCATTTCCCTCCTCCAATTTTTCATTCCTTGTTTTGTCAATGGTGGCCCCCCACTCAGTCTCAAGCTCAAGGCCCTCTGGCTCTATCCTCCTTTTTCTCTGGTCTTGGGGAGGAGGCTGTTTCTCTGGGGCCCAATGTGTCTCCAGTCTTGGGTGTCTAAGTTGAGACTCTGACTGTGATACTTCCCTTGACTCACAGGCCTGTCACCCCCATGGCAGCTGTCTTCCTTTCTAACCAGCCATTGCCATGTTCTGTGTCACTGGCCTGCTTGGGCCACAAACACCTTCTTCCTACCTTCTTTAGGCTAGGTGTTTTAGCTCTGTGGTTTCCAAAACCTTGAGATAAATCCTGCTGCATTAGAGAAAGGTGTGCACTTGAGGTTAGGAAAAGACAAGACCAGAAAAGGCCAAGAAAGGAGTTTGGGGTGGATGGGGCAGGGACACGTGGGAGAAAGGAGACAGGCCCAGTAAGACGGGAGACGGAGACCAAGGCAAAACCCTGTGACTTTAGCTGGGAAAAAGCCCGAGAAAAAGCCATGATTTAAATGAAAAAAGGAAGGAGTGTTGTATCTTAGAAGACTGAGAAAAAACTGGAATAGAAGGAAAGGACGAGGCTGACCCCCTGCCGGAAAATGAAGGCAGGGAGGAGGAGGAGGAGGAGGTTCAGTGGTTGTGAGAGGCTTAAAGCAGAAAAGGCAGCCCCCATCTCGGCCTCCCTTGTCAGTCCTGAGTTCAAGCGGTGCAGGCTTTGACCCTTGTGGGAGGAACTGAATTGGCAAATTAATGACGATAATGAAGTCACTGCTCCTTGTTTGTCTTTGCTGGTTTCCCCTTGAGATTTGTCCTTTGGCCAGACGGGGCACCGTGGGGGAGGGGAGGGACAGCGGCAGAGGAGGGCGAGAAAGGGGCTGGGAGAGGAGGCCGGGGATGCGAAGCTGGGGAGGACAGACAGACGGAGCCAGGAAGAGGACCGGGAATGGAGGAGAGGAGCGCAGGGAGGCGCGGAAGGGGAAGGGACGAGGAGAGGGGCGCGGAAAGACGGAAGGAGAAAGAACAATGGGGCCCACGAGAGGGACGCCTGGAAGGAGGAGCAGAAGACCGGGAGGGACAAGGAGAGGTGGACCTGGGAAAGAGCGAGCCGGAGGGAGAGAACGTGGCCGGGCAGGGAGGGCTGCAGCTGGCGGGGCGGTGGGCGGGGCCTCATCTCCATCTCTAATGGCTGTGAAATGAGGTTAGCTCCATTAGAGGCGGCGCGAGTGTAACGGGATCGCACTCATTAGGGCTGGGCCATCCCAGTAATTACCACCTCCCCAAACACGCCCCCGCCAGCCGGGCCACCGCGCACAAACAGGCACGCGGCCGCACACCCGACACCCCGCCGCTGAACGGGAAGCCAAGGCCCACAGCCGGGGGCTTCGGCGGAGCCCCAGCACCCACAGCCAGCCAGAGGCCTGAGGGCCAGCCAGCACCGTCACTAACCTGAAGAGGTGCTGGGACAGGGCCACACAGCCATTCACACAACAAAAAGCAATAAACACACCTACACCCCAACTCAAGAAATAAGGCACGTGGGTGAATAATTATCTTTTCCATTTATTGATCACATTCAAAGTACAAGTCTCAATAATGATCATTTCGATACAACTCTGTGAGGAACTCTTTCTCATTCCATGTGAAGAAATAGGGTTTCAGCAAAACACTCCAGGTCATTTACCTAAGGGAATGGAACTAGAATTAATTCCAGGCCTGACCCTAAAGGTTGTGTTTTTTTTTAAATACCATACTGCTTGTCTGATGAAGCTTATATGTTATTATGGATATAAATATATAGACTTTGAACTTTAAGAGACATTATCACGAATGAGTACACATATAAGTAAATAACCTTTGATACTGATCTCCACCCACCTCCCAAAGGTGCACACAAAAAGAATGGCCAGGGCCCCTACCTAGATTGCAGTGTGCATAGTGCCCCCTGGAGTTGCACAAAACAGTGGTCCTGGGCCATCTTTTACTAAGAAACTAACCAGAGATGGCCATCAAACATGACACCTTCAAGCTGAGAGGAGTATGACATATGCTCAAGGCGACACACTTAAGGGCAGTACACACTCAAAGACCTCACTCAAAATGCATGCCAGCCAGAGTCCAGTCAGAAGCTTATAAATTAAGCCAAGATAAAAGTGCTGGGATCAGGCTACCTGAGTCCATTCTTGACTCTACTTCTTTCCAAGTGTGAGACCTTTAGAATTACTTTACCCATCTAAGCCTGTTTCCACATTTGTAAAATGGGAATGAATAGCTGTATCTATTTCAGGAGACTGTAATGGAGGATTAGGTCATGTGATGTTTGCAAAGGGCTCAGCTCAGTGGCTGGCACGTGGTAAACATTTGAAGATACTATTATTATTAGTTGTTTTTTTATTGTAATAGTATTTAAATAGAGTCATTACCATCAGAAGGGTTCATGTAGAATTAAAGAACCAGAGGATCTATTCATATATGCACTTACAATGCTATCCTTCCAAATAATTCTAGAAGAATTGCATGTAATCCCTTTGATGCTACAGGGGTCCCCCTGCCAGGATCTGACAGGATCCTGAATCTGAATTCAAGGGCACAACTCCCTGTCCCTCAACTCCTGAGTGCTCCTATAGAGGAGTTCAGAGCTGGCTTTGTGTGGTTGTCTAAGCCCCAGTCTCTCGGTGTACCAACAAGATCACACAGCTCTCCAATACTGCCCTAACACTTATGGCATCATCAAAGGAGATGCATGGGCAAGAGGCTCCATTCTTCTCAGGACACCCACTCTCCAGCAGCACACCTCAACAGGGCCTTGCAAATGTGGAGGCACCTCCCACTGGCTGGTTGTGGCTTCAGTCCACCCACAGCTTCCCGTCTTACCCTTGTCTACTCCTTACCCACCCCGTATTCTTCCTCAGCCTCTCCTTTCTCCTCACACTTCACACAGTTCTCTCCTGCCCACCTTAAACATCATGTAAGGTGGGAGATGAGGCCTCTTGGCTCCATCCCTCTCATCCACCTGCCCAATCTGATGCCAAAGCTGGGAGGCCTCAGTGGAGTAAGATTTACATGCAAAAATGGAGATTCAGCTTCCCACCTGCTTCCCTATCTCTCCCTCTCCACCCCTTCCTTCTTCCTCTGCCTTGCTCTCTCTTTACCCTCTGTGACACTCCTGTTCCTACCTGTCTATCTCAAACCCTGCCATTCTTATTTTCTCTCTTCTGGACAAAACTGATCTTGCACAAAGTAAGTACTCCCTAAATATTTGGGGCAGGGATGGGATGGGAAGGAGAGGTCTAGGAGAAATAGGTAGAATTAAAATGGAGGAACGAAAGTACCCTTTTTGTTTGTTTTCTTTTTAAATATAGAAGGTAAGACTTAGAACCAGAGAAACTGATAGTTTTGAATGCAGGGAGAGGCCATATAGTTTGATCCAGGTATTAGCTGCTTCTGCACCCAGCTGAGTATGATCCTGGGCAAAGCTTCTGGTCTCTGCTCTGGGATAATGGGGGCATCTCTAGGCCCAGCAATCAAGAGAACCAAACGAGAAAGGAATTCTGCTGCTGGGCAGACTAGATTTAAATCCTGCCCTTATTATTATTAGTTGTTTTTTTATTGTAATAGTATTTAATCTGCCCTCAGTTGAAAAACGCAGAGGTTAGAGTATGAGTGGTGGTGAAGAAGGGGAGGCGGCTGGAAGTTGTCAGCCCGCCTGCAAACACCTTGCTCCTTCAGTGGGAGGAGACAGTCAAGAGAGAAGGAAAGGATTGAACCTGGTTCACGCCTAGAGTCTGCACTTCTCACATTTCTTAGTTCAGTCTTTACAACATCCGAGTAAGGAAGGTATTATTCCTATTTGCTCAGATACGGAAACTGAGACTCAATAAGTAACTTACCAAAGTTGCACAGCTAGCGAGTGGGGAACTGGCCTGGGTCTGTATGAATCCTAAAGCCCATCATCTTTTCCTGCCTTAAAAAATAAAGTTCATCTAGTTAGTTTATTTGTTGTTCATACCAAACAACCCCCTTTACACAGGGCATACACACTAGATCTTTTCTGTTTCTCTTCCCCTTCCTCCCTCCAAGGCTGCCTCTTTTTGAAAGCAACAGGTTGAGACAAAAAGGGGGAAAAGGCTTGCCTTGTCAGTGTGGAAGAGAGCAGTGCTAGAGGCAAGAATTTCAGGGGAAAGAGAAAAGAAAGGGTCCTAAAAATTGACTCCGTAAGGGAAGAAGGGTAGACGTAACAAAGGGAAAAGGGAAAGGGAAAAATGTTTGGAAGGCTCTGATGTGGAAATCACATGCAAATTTTAGGCAGACATGTCGATGCCTTCTGGCAGGTTTTGCTAGGAAAGTGTTGGCCCCGTCAGTGGGTTTGGAGAGAAGCCAGTCCATGCCCCCCGCCCCGGCCGCGCCCCCATCTCTGTCCAGGCTTCTCTTCAGGGACGTTCCCTTTGTAACCAGGAGGGAACAGCCGTATTTCTCTTCCTCTCCTGTTGGGCCGAGGTCAGCGCGTCCCAGCCCAAGGGGAATTCTGGTCTTCCTGGGCTCCAGAGTGTGCCTGGCCCACCCACCTGAGCCCACGCCCTGGCTTCTCCTCGGTGAGGGGCAGATTCTCTTTCCACGGGCCTCATTTCTTTGGCCCTTCGTTCGTTAGCAGCTGCCATTTGGCTCCTGTAATTCTCTGGTTCTCAGGTCTCCCTGCATCCTCCCTGTCTTGCCTCATCTCAGAGCCTGCCTTTTCAACTTTTCATTACTTCACAGCCAAGCCTTTCTATCCGATCCACTACGTCTGGGTTTTCTGGGTCCTACTGTCTGTCTTGGATCATCCTGGCTCCCTGGCTGCTTTCTCTTTTAAGTAACTATGTATCTGCCCTTGACCAGGGAATGCCTATGTACAAATTCTTGCCCAGACATTTCCAGGTGCCTTTCTGCCCTGCTCCAGTGTTAGAATATCTGCAGATCAGTGATTGTTTTTGTGGGGCAACAACTCCCCAGCTGAGCTGGAACATTTCCACTCTCCCCTTTCATCCTGAGGAATAACAAGGTCTGGAAAGAGGAAGAGGGCAATACCAAAAAAACCGCTCTCCTAGTTCTCATAGCTTTCACTCCATCTTCCCTTGTCCTCTCTCCCGCTGTGAGGCTGAGAAGCATTAGGGAAGGAGGCAGAATGAAGGGGCAGCGAGAGAGACTGAGGGCCATTTTGGAGCAGGAAGATTCATCTCAGGGGAGGTCTCCACTCTCCCCAGGCTCCAGGCCTGCCTCCTCCCATCCCCCTCGGTGGCAGCAGCCTCGTAATTTAAAGCTCTCTCTGTCGCCTCTAATGTGATCCTCTCATTTTATTGACTCTCTCTGCTGTCTGTGGCGCCCCTTCACATCAATCTCTGCTCTAATCACACTGCCACCACTAACTGCTGTCTCCCCAAACCCCTCTCCTCATGGGCTCCCAGCCCTGCCTCTACCCCAGACTGTACCCCCCCACCTCCACCCCATCCACCCTCTTCCTCCTGCCTTCCAGAGGCCGGAATGTCTGGGCCTCTGGAGGGGTCTCCTTCTCCCTTTCCCATATCTAAAATGTGTTCCAGGGGAGAGGAGATGCTCTTAAGGAAAGCTGGGGTCTTCTGGAGGAATAGCAGTGGTCTGGGAGAGAACATGACTCTTGGCCAGGGGTTGGTAGGTGGGAGTGACTTTAGGCCTGTCACCTGGTTCTGTATCATCTCCACAAACAGATGAAAACTGAGTTCAAGGCAGGAAGGGCAGAGAAGGGACACAGGAGACTAAGAAAGGGAAGGAAGAAAAGATTGAGGAGGAGGAAAATGGAAGGCGGGTAGTGAAAAATAATTGCTGCAGTTAAAGGTTTCTAATAAATAGTGGATGATGGGAGAGGCATGGAGGAGAAAGAGGAGGGGGAGCCGCTGGTGGGCGTGGGGGTGCACTGAGGCAGAGATCAATTTGCAATGGAAATTATTTCCTTAAGGGGAGGAGCGGGAGGTGGGGAGGTGGGGAAGAGATTTGCAATTTAAGCAGTTGCCGACCTACCCTTGGCGATCCGGGTCTCACCCACAAGCTAAGCTGCTCTGGTTTCTAGGTGGGACTCTGCTGTGCCTTTTTCCAATCCTGGGAAGAAGAAGCTGAGGAGAGAGCATCTGAGGCTTTGGTCTTCCTAGTCCTCTGAAATTTGATCGAGAGTTGTGAGTTAGAAGTCAGGGAGAGAGCTGATCGTTGTAATGTAGGCAGGGTGGGCCCGCGTGGAGAGGGCACCCACCTTCTGCAGCCCTTAGCATCAGGGTCCAGGAAAAGCCCCTCTTGCCCCACCTCAGTTCTTCCCACCAGGTAGAGCAGTAAAAGAGTGGTGGACCCGCACTGTGGGGGTGACAGTGCAATGTCAGACCCTCACAAACCAGCACACTTAACGCCCTCATCCCTTCCTGCACTGGGATTCTGTAGGAGGAATGCCTTTCTTCCACAACTTCAAGGGCTTCTGCTCTCTGGTGACCCTGGATAACTCCACGCCATCTAATTCCTTTACTTTCCTTTTGGTTCTGCAACCACCCTCCCATCCCCTCCAACCCTAGCCCAGGTGCCAATTTGCATTTTCATTAGCATGCCAGTCTTTCCCCAGGCAGAGCCCCTTAAAGGCTCTGACTGCATGCCTGGCTAGCCCCCCAGGAGGAGGAGCAAGGTGGGAATGGGGGTCTACAGGATAGATGGGGACAGACCAGAGCACACTACAAATCCAGAATCTGAAGGTGACAATTAGAGCTGACCCAGGAAGGAGAGGCCACACCCCTTCCCCTGAAGCACTCTGGCTTAGTTTAGGCGTTAAAGGTTAATCAGTCATTAGAGATCTGCTGATACTAAGAACTGGAGAGGATAATGTTGGGAGAAGTATGGGATGGTGAGGTGTGGGGAATTGGTGGTTTTGATGGGGGGGAATCAAGAAAACTTGGGGGCAGCATGGGAGGCTTGGTGCTTCTAGTCAGCTGGAAGGAGCCTAGGAATCCTGATTTCTAGACCTCTGGAGCCTTATATTGCCTGTACTGTTTCAGGGACAGTCTAGCTGGATGGAGGAGCCCAGGCCACAGTTTGGGGTACAGCTCTGTGCCTTCAGGAGTTTCATTACCTTAGAGCTGTGTGACAATCAGCAGCTTACTCAAACTGCTTCTTGGCTGTCTCATCTGTAAAATAAGGTTGTTGTGAGATTAAATGAAATAATTGATTAAAGCATTTAGCACAGTGCCAGGACCATGGTATATGTACCTTAAAACTATGAGTAATATTGTTACTGTTACTTATTATTACTATTTTTATCTCTTTGGGGAGGAGGCAGCTAATCACGTACAAGTGGTTGTCTTTCAACTGACCAGGGAAGTTCCCACCTATTACACATGCTGTGACCAGAGACTATGTTTGACATCTGAGAGCACATGTGCCTGCAGGCCAATGGAAATTCACTACAGCCTCTCTGGCAAGAGGCCCTTGACTTAGGGATATTACCTCTTCAGGGTATGGAAAATCTGAGGTGTTTCCCAGAACCAATCATTCAGTGGACATGTACTGACTATATGTACAGCAGGCATCTCTCTCAGCACTAATGACAAGAGCAATAAATAAAGCAGACAGAGCTCCTGCTCTCATAGAGCTTTCCTTCTAGAAGGGAGAGATAAGAACACCAGGAAATAGCAGGTAGTGATAAATTTCTGAAGAAAGTAACTTCCCCAGGGCTATGCTACCTTCTGTAGAGAGGGAAGGGAAGGCCTTTTGAGGAGGTGATATTTAAGCAGAGACCTGCTACTGAAGCAGATGACAAGGAGCCACCACGTGAAGGTATGGGGGAACAGCATTCCATTTAAAGTAAGCAGCTTAGGCAAGGATGAACTTGGTGTGTTTGAGGAACAGAAAGGCCAGTGGGCTGGAGCTATCCAGCCAGGTGGGGTGGACAGAGAGTATTAAGATACATCAGAGGTAGTCAGGTATCAGACCAGATAGTTCCTTCTGTAGGTCAGGGAGAATTTGGATTTTATTTACAGTGCAGTGAGAAAACATTGATAGGTTCTAAGCAGAATATAGTATGATTTACATTTTAAAAGGTGATTCTTTATGAAATTTGCTTTAAAACAATACAGGAGAAGGGGAAGTGAGTGAGGATACAGAGGAAACAAGATGGCCGTGGGCTGACACCTGCTGAAGTCAGGTAATGAATGCAAAGGGGTTCCTTATAGTACTTGCTCTATGTTTATGGATGTCTGGCATTTTTCATAATTGAGAGTTAAATGAAAGCTCATTCTTGCTGCTGGGTAGAAGGAGACTGGATGGTAAGGCCAGTAGTGGAAACAGGCCAATGTGGACTCCATTGCATTAGTCCAGGAAAGATAGAAGGGCTTGGGTACGATGGTGCTGGTGAACATGAAGATAAATGGAGGGAGTGACACCTGTTTGAGAGGTTGCTGTTGAATTGCAAGAGGAAACTTGTAGGTCTTTAGCCTACACAACTGGATTAATGGTGGTACCAATTTCTGAGTAGGAAAGATGGGGAGAACAACAGGGAGAAATATAGATTTTTGATTTGGGACATGTTAAGTCTGAAGTCTGTTAGACACTAAAGTGAAGCTTCCAGTTGGCAACTGGGTTCCTGGGTCTGGTGCTCAGGGAAGAGGGGCCAGAGTATCTGAAGAGTCACCTGCCCAGTTGGGTGTCTCCTCTGCCACCTCATAGCACTGCCCTCTTTGTGCTTCCCCCACAGGGTCCTGGCTGTTAAGCTGAAATGAACCCCCAGCACGCCTCCATCTGCCATGGCCACCCTTAACGCATCCTTTACCACTGGCACCACTCCATCCCCTGGGCACGATGCCCCATCCCTGCCTCCGGACATTTCCTCCCCCAGCACTCCCTCTGATTCTGTCACCAAAGATTCCCCTGCTGCCCCCTCCAACTCTGACAGCATGAGGCCCTCGGAGCCAGGAGGACAGCCCCTGGAGTCAGGCTGTGGCCTTGTCCCACCAAAGGAGATTGGGGAGCCCCGGGAAGAGCCTGGCTGTGGTGGCTTCCCACCAAAGGACCTGGGGGTGGGAGAAGACAAGCAGCAGGAGGAGGAAGGAGGGCTCCCTCCTGTGGACCTACGTAACCACTTACTCTTCACAGCTGGCGGTGAGGCCTGCCTAGTGGCCAAGCTGTCCCTGCCAGGTGCCAGTGAACTCCTGTTACCAAAGGGCTTTTCCTGGGGTGAGGGGTGCATCAAGGAAGAGTCCAGCCTGTCCCTCCTTGCCCACTCACCCCCTGCACACCTCACTGTCCTTCATATCCAACATGGCTTTGACCCAATCCAAGGCTTTAGCTCTTCTGACCAAATTCTGTCCCACGATACCTCAGCGCCATCTCCAGCCGCCTATGAGGGAAGGGATGGAGCCTTCTGGAGCTACCAGCTGGCTCCAAACCCCCCCGGAGATCCCAAAGACGGCCCCATGGGGAGCAGGGCGGGAGACCACAGGGCCCTCTTCTGGCTCTGCCTCCTGTGCCGCCTGGGTTTCAGCAGGCCCCGGGCCTTCATGGGCCACACACAGTCTCACGGGGTGAAGCTAACCCCTATCCAACACCAGGGCCTGCCAGGCAACCCAGCCGTGCTCCAGGAGGGGGGCAAGGGCTGCGTGGCCCTCCTAAGCTTTCTGGAACCAAAATCACCTACTTGCTCCCCTTTGAAAATAGCCCTTGACAACAGCAGCACAGTGAACATGGAGGCAAATATAGACCAGGCTGAGGATGGCCCCCCTGAGGCAGAAGCCCAGGCCCCTGTCCTGTCCGCAGAAGACGTCATGGCCCTCAGCCCACCCTCCCCCTCCACAACCCTGGCCACCTGGGACCCCAGCCCAACCCAAGCCAAAGACTTGCCAATGGCAGCCGGCGAGGCAGGGCCAGATTGGTTCCCTGAGGGGCAAGAAGAGGATGGAGGGCTCTGCCCCCGACTCAACCAAAGCTCATCCACCTCCAAGGATGGGGGCACTCTCCCTGCCCCAGTGGGCTCCCCTGAAGACCCCAGTGACACACCCCAGCCCTTCCGCCTGGCCGAGGACTACACCCCAGGCCCTGCAGCCTTACAGGGCCTTAGCTTGTCTAGCCACATGTCTCTGCTCCACTCGCGCAATTCCTGCAAAACGCTCAAGTGTCCCAAATGCAACTGGCACTACAAGTACCAGCAGACCCTAGATGTACACATGCGGGAAAAGCACCCGGAGAGCAACAGTCACTGCAGCTACTGCAGCACAGGGGGTGCCCACCCCCGCTTGGCCCGGGGAGAGAGCTACAACTGTGGCTACAAGCCCTACCGCTGTGATGTCTGCAACTACTCCACCACCACCAAGGGCAACCTTAGCATACATATGCAGTCCGACAAGCACCTGGCCAACTTGCAAGGCTTCCAGGTGGGGCCCGGGGGGCAGGGAAGTCCCCCGGAGGCCTCACTCCCACCCTCTTTAGGAGACAAGGAGCCCAAAACCAAATCATCCTGGCAGTGCAAGGTGTGCAGCTACGAGACCAACATCTCTCGAAACCTGCGCATCCATATGACCTCCGAGAAGCACATGCAGAATGTCCTCATGCTGCACCAGGGGCTGCCGCTGGGCCTGCCACCTGGGCTGGTGGGGCCAGGCCCCCCTCCCCCTACAGGAGCTGCCCCCACCACCCCCTCTGAGCTCTTCCAGTACTTTGGACCGCAGGCCCTAGGGCAGCCTCAGGCACCCTTGCCTGGCCCTGGGCTGAGGCCAGATAAGCCCCTGGAAGCTCAGCTGCTGCTCAATGGCTTTCACCACCTCGGAGCGTCTGCCTGCAAGTTCCCCACACCTGGTAAGCTCCCTGGGCTCTGCTCCTCTTCCCTAGGACCAAACTCAATTCCCTGCTTTTTCCTAAGGACCAGCCCCTAACTTAGGTAACCCCAGCTCCTGCAGCACTATCCCCGTTTGCTCACTTCCCCACATTCCCAGAGCAAATCTGCCTGGCCCCATTCTCTCCTTGGGCCACTAATCCACCTTTGTTCCCTAGCCCCAAAGTCAGCTCCTGGGCTCCTTGTCTGACAGCCTGTCCACCTCACCACCCCCAGATGACAGCCCATCCCTGAAGGTGTTCCGCTGCCTGGTGTGCCAGGCCTTCGGCACAGACAGCCTGGAGCTGCTGCTCTACCACTGCAATGTGGGCCGCAGCCTCCCAGAGGCCGAGTGGAAGGAGGTGGCCGGTGACACCCACCGCTGCAAGCTCTGCTGTTACGGCACCCAGCTCAAGGCCAACTTCCAGCTCCACCTCAAGACTGACAAACATGCTCAGAAGTACCAGCTAGCAGCCCACCTGAGGGAGGGGGGTGGGACCATGGGCACCCCCTCCTCCGTGCCCCTGGGAGATGGGGCTCCTTATGGGTCTGTCCCTCCTCTGCACTTGCGCTGCAATATATGTGACTTTGAGTCCAACAGCAAGGAGAAGATGCAGCTACATGCCCGGGGTGCGGCCCATGAAGAAAATAGCCATATCTATAAGGTGAGAGCAGGCAGGAAGGGCCTGGGACTTGAAGAGCAGAACACAGAGACTTTGGGGAGGAAAGAGAAGGGGATGGATATGGAGTTGAGGAGATGTAGAGTGGGAAAATGAGGGAAAAACCCAGGGGGGCACAGTTGGAGAAAAAGGCAAGTATCCCCCAGGGCAATAAACTATTTGGAGGCAGACGTAGAGAAAGAGACCAAAGGCTGGTGCACTCTGGTGACGTGGATCCAATACTTTATTCAGTGTTTCTGATGGTTGGGGCTGGAGGGTAAGGGGTCCATGTCTGCTCAGTCCTTCTTATCACCAGAAGTTCAAAAGGATGGAATCAGATTCCACTCACATTCTAGGAGGGAATCCAGGATTGGTAAGAGGAAGAGAAGGAAGTTGGGGAGAAAAAGCAGTAATACTTAGGTGGCCATAGGCAGGGGAAAGGGGGTTCAAGCGGGTGAAAGGGACTGGTAGGATGGCATGCTGTTGGCCAGGCCCCCTTGGGGGAAGCAAAGGAGTCCCCTGATATCTGGAGGTGTCTATCCCTTCTGGGCCTGAACAACCTCTTTCTGTGCTTCCAGTTTCTGCTGGAGATGGAGGGGGCAGTAGCTGGGGCTGAGCTGGGGCTGTTCCGCTGCCTGCTGTGCACATGGGAGACGCCCTCGCGCCTGGCAGTGCTGCAGCACCTCCGCGCACCAGCGCACCGTGACGCCCAGGCCCAGCAGCGGCTGCAGCTGCTACAGAGTGGCCCTGCAGCCGAGGAAGGGCTCGCAGCTCTTCAGGGCATCCTGAGCTTCAGCCATGGGCAGCTCCGGACTCCTGGTGAGGAAGAGGGGACTGGAGAGAGGGCAGCAGGTGCAGGAGCTGGGGCCTGATGAGGTGGTTCAAGGAAGGAGAAACAGGAAACAGGTCTATAGGCAGTGGAAGGCAAGTGGAATGGGGTGTGGAGGGGTGATAAAAACAGATTTCAGGAACAGTAGGGCTGCCAAATGGGGGCACAAGAGGCTGTTGGAGGGAGGTGGCAGGGATGGACAGGGACTTTGTGGGGGGAGAACAGAACAGGAAGAGAGAGGTGAGGAGGAATCACCCAGTGATTCTGAGTAGTGACCAGTGTCCTAGCAAAGCTGGGTGTGACGGGTGGTAGGAGGTGGTCAGGGAGGAAAACAGCAAAGAATGGAATCCGCTTTGTGCTGGGGCCAGTACATGTCAGAAGATGGGAGCTCTGGGCATGGCCTGAGGGCACCAGGAATGGGAAGCCTCATCCTGTCTCCTAGGAGGTCTTCAGTCCAAAGGCTGAGCTTAGGGTCCCTCTTAGGTAGCTGAGGTTGTACCAGCAGAGACCACAAACAGCCCACCAGGCACCATTGATCCAGAGGATGCAGAAGAGCCTGGAAGGGGCTTTCATGGGTGGGCTTGGGTGTCCAGGATTTGTAGAAGCCAGTGGTGGGTGAGGGTGAGGGCACAGGCAGTAGGAACCAGGGATAGGCTGCACTGACTGGTGCTAATTGAATTGCCAATATGCTGGCTGGAGTTAAGTGCCAGAGGGGCCCGGATCAATAGCTAATGATCCTGGCGCAGGGCTGAATGGAGTTAAGGAACTTTAACTTTAATTAGGCTGCCACTGAAAATAAATTCCTAAGCCATCTGTCAATTCTTACTTGAGTGGTAATCTCTCCCAGCTAGACCTGCTGCCTCCTGCTTACCACAGCTGCTTCAGTTGAACCCCCTTCCTTCCTTCTATAGTGCCCCTCCTACGTTTCTGGAATCCCTGCTTCCAGAAGCAGCTGACACAGGGAGCTGAATTCAGTCCTGTTTCTGTGGCCTCCTGCTGGACTTGTTTCCTCATCCTTATATGAGGGTGGCTGGGCTCGCAGAGATCTCTTAAGCCCTGCCAGTTCTAGCACTAATTTCCTCCCTCATCCTCTGAACTGTGTCTGCCTGTTGATTCACCCACCCATGTTCTCCTTCTGGCTACTTGTCCTGCTTCCTCTGCCCTATACCTTCCTTTCCTGGTGCTTCGTCCTTTTAAGCTGACTCTCCTTGTCCTACACAGGGAAGACTCCTGCCACCCCCTTAGCTGAGTCACCAGCCCCCGAGAAAGATGCCCCAAACAAGATGGAACAACTGGGTGAGTTGCTTTTCTGGTCCATTTTCCCTCAGTGCCTTGCCATCCCTGGCCCCTGGTTCTCATACATTCTGAGCAGCATGAGGGACCTTGAAGTAGTCCAGGTGCCCACCAAGACCTCCTGTGCTTGGAGGAGCCAACCTGGCCAAAGGAAAGCTCAGCAGAGGGAAGAGAGGAGGAGCCCTGGAAGGAGAGCGCTTGCCCAACCTTTAGGGTCAAACCTGGTGGTCAGCACCATAACCCGGGCTCAGCCCCGTAGAGATGAGCCTGCCTGTGCTGAAGCAGCCTTGTGCTTCCCTGTCCTCTCTCCCTTCCCCCAGAGCCCACCAACCTCCCCCGGAAGCCCTCTGCTACAGATCAGGTCATCCTGAGAGCTGGGGTCTGGAAAGGAAGAGGGAGGGCTGTCAGAGTCTCTTAATCTCCTCTCCTTTCATCTTCAGCTTCTGAAGAGGCAGAGGACAAGACTGACCTTGCTGGAGATAGTGCTAACCAGACCACGGTCAGAACTGGGGTAACTGGGAAGAGCTCAGGGTGGGAGGCCTAGTTTTACTGAGATCTGCCTATATTTGAAGGCCTACAATTCTAATTAGTAGAGCTTTAAGACATTTGGCCATGCTCAAGACTTACTTCACTCAGAATATATTAAGAAATTCCATCTAGGTCTAGTTACCATGTCAGCACCATGCAGGGAACACAGCTAGCTCTGAGGAGTGGAGCACAGAGAGAAGAAGGGGTGACAGGAATTTGAGAGA